TGGCCAGCCCTGTGTGGCCCCTACTGGCCACATATACGCTGCTGTTGTGTGTCAAATACGCTTTTCATTGTTTGAACGCCACATGTAGTGTTGCCTTGATGGATCGGGGGTCCTGTTTAGTGATTCTTTTCTTTTTTGCGGTAGTGGTCACCCATCTTGGAGAAATTAGTGAAATGTGCAAAAAAAACGTAAAGCATGTATTCATTTAGAGTGTTGTTAAATTCCTATGTTTTGGTAAAAGTGGAAGAGCACATTGATGCTCAAATGGAAAATGTTTCCAGGGGCAACAGAGGGGGGAGGGGGTCTCCTCTCTGGCACCTAGGCAGTGGAGGTGGTGAGCTTCTGGATGGTGCGGTTGTAGTATTGGGTGGTGAGGGCCTCCAGGGGGTTCCAGTGGTGCGCGTGCAGCTCGATGACCTCCATGAGGAGAGAGCGGGTCAGCGGCGACTCGCCCGGGCTCAGCATCTTGTCCCTGACGGCGGCCAGGAGCTCCGTCATCATCTCAGGGAGCTGCTCCTCCAGGAGGCGCCCCATACTCTGGAGCTGGTGGAGAGACGAGGAGGTCAGAGGAAGTGTGTGTGTCGCTTACAGAGAGCAAAACACAACGTCTGGCACCTTGTTACTGTAGATGCAGTCAGACAGGAGAGTTCACACACCCTGTGGCCATGGAGTGTGTGTGTGTGTGTGTGTGTATGTGTATGTGTATGTGTATGTGTATGTGTGTGTGTGTGTGTGTGTGTGTGTGTGTGTGTGTGTGTGTGTGTGTGTGTGTGTGTGTGTGTGTGTGAGAGAGAGTCATGAAAACTGCGAGGGATGTGTTTGTGAGCATCTGGGAATGGTTAGCCACCTATCTTTGTGCTTTCTGTTGTTTCGCCTCTTTTTATTGTTTTCTTATCGTTGCTGCTGAGAGATTTCGGTTCTTCTACCACGACCCAAGTCTGATTAAATCCATAGTTCTACTTAAATTCACCTACACTACTTTATTATTCATAACCCTCGGGAGACGACCATTGAATATCAAAGATATGGGTTTGAGATTGTGCATACTGTGGACCTCTCCAGCATGTACTGCGCATTAAAGGAACATTACAATGAAACATGGGTTTTATGTCTTTCAATATAGGATCTTTTTTTTTTCCACATACATTTGTTCAGATGTTTTACTGCATTTAATTTCTTGCCTGGCACTTAAATTCAAATCAGCCTTTTGCTTGAAACTAAAACACGAGTAATACCTGTGTGTGTGTGTGTGTGTGTGTGTGTGTGTGTGTGTGTGTGTGTGGAACCATACCTCCATTGAACAGCACAGCACTGCATCTTCCTTCACATCAGTGGACTCCAATAGCTATAAGGGACAAGAGCAGATCATATTTGAATATACTGGAACACTGCGAAGCAAAGAGCCGCACAGCAACAAGGCAGGTTTATAAAAATGTGTATATATTTGGATGTAGGCCACAGTAGGAGATTAAGCAAATGCAAGTGTGTGTGTGTGTGTGTTTTTTCATCAGTTCACAAGAGAAGGAAAAAAGAAGACCTAATCCTAATTGTAAATATTTTTCTACATTAACATTTGAAATCTTGGAAGACAACACGCCAGGCTTTCATCCTGGCAAGCTAGCTAACCGTCAGACATCAAGGCTGGCTCTGTGCACACTGTATATCCGCGTGCACACAAACAGCACAGCCAAAAACAAACTGTGAAGCTGGTAAACATGCTAGCTGGCTTTCCACCCCCTCCACTGGCCCCATGCACAGATGGGCATATAACTGGCACTTTCAAACAATACAGAGAGCGATGGCCACAAAGGGAGACAGACCCACAGAGAGCCTCCTATAGACATCGAGAACGGAAGCTGTGCACATCTAGTGCCAGATTACAGTTTACAGAATACTGCTTGTTTTACTCCTCTACCAGTCGGTTTAACAAAGTGCTACTTTGATTATCCTGAAGGAAAGGAAGTAACAGGGAGGAAGGGAGGGGATGTTTTTTTTGTTGCTGTTTTGATATCTAAATAAACCTTTAATGAGTAGAACTGCTGCACAATGAGCAACATAAAGTATAAATGCAGGCACAGTTATGGGGAAGCTAGTGAAAGAGAACTTGTTTAGAAGCCGTCTGTCATTACAAGGTGATTTGAAGTGGCTCTAATCAATATTTTTCATAATTATGTATAACAATCACAATGTAACAATGACTATGCATTAGGGCTGCTCGGTTATGGCAAAAATCATAACCTCGATTATTTGGTTCAATAATTGATATCACGATTATTAAAAACGATTATCCATTTACTTTGAAAATATCAATTGATTGGAGATTTTTTTTTGAACAGTATGTTTTGAACAGTTGATTACGCTGAACTTTAACTATAATTCAACTGAAAAACCAATACAAAAAAAAAGTAATTATAAAAGAATAATCGTTTTATTTGGATTACGTTGTTTTCGTAATCGTTGCAAGCCATAATCGTAATTGCGATTAAAATACGATTAATTGAGCAGCCCTACTCTGCATGCACAAAATGTTCTTTAAATATACTTATATGAAACTAAACTACAAGCTCGATTGATACAGACAAATCCAATAGTTTCTGATTTGACCATTTGTAGTTGAACTTCATACTACTTAACTTTGATGATATGCATGCTTTGAGAGCAAAACAGAAATGAAAACAAAGACATGGAAATTGTTTCTGATTCTTTGTAACTAAAAAAAGAAACAAGGATAGCCCATCTGATACTTCAATCCAAAGTTAATGCGAGCTGGCTTTTATTTCCCCGCTGTAAGCTTAATGGTATTCCACCTATAATTCAGGCCCGGCAGTTGCATGGCGTGGTGACAGTATGGCTGTTTGATGTGGGAACTACAGTCTCGTCTTTCCCTGAGCAGGAGAGCCGTGTGACACGCAGGATGGGCTCATAATGAGTTCTCCAGGGAGCCCAGTGTGACGTTTTTACTCAACACGTTTAAAATGGACTAATCTATACTCATCTATAATCGGTTCTCCTAGCCATTGAGGTAGCTCTCTTTTCCCTCTTCTCTTTTTTTAAAGTAGAAGAGGAACAGCTGCAGGAAAACAACTTCTCTGAGAGACTACTTAAAGCACAAAGTCTCTGTGCTGAAGCAGAAGCAGACAGATCTCTGGTTAGTTACATCACAGAGAAACAAAAACTCTGCAAGGGGAAGCGCTGGGAGTCTGTGTGATTTCCATTTACAGTATTTCCATTCAAAACATATTTTATCTGGAAGATGAAAAGCTAGAAGAATTAAGACAGCCGTGATCATCTTGTAGCACAGAATGGAAAATATAAACCCAACAACAACTTGAATGACTCAGTGAAGTCAGCTAGAACAACATTCATATTTATTTAAATTATTAGCGAAAGCTTCATCGTGCTTGAATTCACTCATGTATATTTTGAAAGCTGTCATCATATGCTGGCTAAAAGAAAAGTAAATGATGGACGAGTGCTTAGACAAAAACATGTTTCATCAGAGTACTAATGACACGCAGAGCGCTCAAAGCTAGAATTATGACTACTTCAACTTTAACTGCGCTTCCAATAGTTGCATAGCAACAGAAGCATCAGAAGGAGAAACTTCCCTTAGTAACATTACACATCACCCTATTTATGTACTTCACTAACTGCTCGACAAAAAACCCACTACAAACTTAAACACTTACAATAACATGATGCTCAGTATTTACAGTTTATTTGAAGAATGATTGAAACATTTTAAGTTAATAGTCGAAAACCGTGAGGGCCCAATCTGACTTTAAAGAAGGATACCAAGAAACAATATAAATAGCCCTGTGGTCACCAGCAGCGTGCTTTCTGCAGTGTGCTCCTGCAAACCACTGTGCCACATGCTTCAGGAAAATCGTTTTTTATGTGAATGTGAGCGCCCTGCTACCTGCCTTCTGATTTGCCATGACTATTCGGCTGTCCAGGTCTGTTCCCCCTTAATAAAGGAATGTTGGATTACTCCTTTAGTCATTTTTACAAGGTGCAGTATCATAAAAAAGAAGCTGTAATCTTTCATCTTGCCTTCCTACATACTTTACCACAATGGTCTGGGTAAATATCCATGCCAGTGTAGGTGTATCCAAACTCTATAATTGACATGTTGTTTGCTTTGACACTTAGTAAAGGATGATCTTACTTAGTGCATCTATGTGGATTGTGCGTATATAAAAAAACACTTTTGGCCTGTGAGTGTTGAATGGCTCATATCACCGCTCGCTGACCTGCCCCATCTATATGAACAGCTGTCATGTCCACTTTAAACACTTTCTTACACACCTTAGCTGTTACCTAAGCCTGTTCTGCAGGCTATAATTACAGAGGACAGCTGCTGCAAAATGCACCGCCACACACGAGTACTCTCAAATGCACACATTATGGCACATAGCTTGTAACAGAATCTGACCTCTACATGTTACGACAGGAGAGACAAAAAAAACAGACGGCTAAAAATGGGTAACAATGGCTCATGGACATGGAGGTGTTATTAGAAATCATTTTGCCACATAGGTGTGACACCGCTGACGCTGGAATACGGGAGGTGTGTCATGTTGTGGAGCGTCCTCTAACAAGCTGAGATAATGATTATTCTGGACATACGCTCAGACAGGGTGTGGATGGCATTGGTTGTGTGTTGATTGTTTGTTAGCGAGACGCTGGGTGTGTGTTGCGCGCCAGACGGGCAGAGGTGTGGACGTGGGCGGTGAAACTACCTTGCACGTGTCTGAAAACCTGCCATTATCTCTTCTCTCTCTGAAAACTCCACATAAAAAGGTTTTTCTCTCCCAGCCCCTGTCATCTCCCCTCTCCTTCTCCTCTCTCTGCTACCTGTCGTGCCGTCAGTGAACTTCCTCCGCAGTAACTGTCAACCTGACCACAGGCTTCTCAGCTTCCTCTTACCTCTTCTCTTTCTCCCTCCCCCCCATCCTCACTCGCTTCCCCTTTCAATATTCCATCTGCCTTTAACCACTTCTGTATCGCACCGCGTCTGCTGTGGCTCCCCATTTGGTTTCCATGGTCACCAAAGGAGTGTGTCTAAGAGAACACGAGCAGCTGATGAGAAATGGACCTTGTGTCAAGCATTTTCTTGGAAGTGATGATGTCCTGATTGTTCAAACCACGTACTAAACCCCACAGTGGTGTATCGAGTCTAGACAGGGTCTGGCCAAAAACAGGAAACTTGCTACATGTTCCGATCGCAACAGACAAGATAAACAGACAAGATAAACAGACACGGCTGGAAGCGTTCCTCTTACTGGAACCAGCAGATGAGTTGATTAATTGGTAAATAAACATACTTGTAATAAATTAAAGATCTGGATACAGACCTCTCGTAGGCAGGTGTAGATGGGACACACCAGCACTCTGAAAGGGTCCGCAGAGCTGCTCCTCATGGTGCCAAACACCTCACACAAGAAGGTGATGAAACCTAACCACCTCTCCACATCCGACTGCTGGAGCTCCTCTCGACGGGCAAAGTCCCTCTGAGGAGAAAGAAAAGACAGATGGATATAAAGTTGGAAAATACCCTGAAACTCTACAGGCTATGCAGCTTGTGTAGTAGCTGGAGAAGTAGGCCGTATAGGTGGATATTTAAGTGTCCCTTAAATTCATCAGCAGTGGTGATAATCACCATTAACATCTTTGTTATCTCCCTGATGGGGGTTTTTGCAGGTGGCACACATATTAACCTCGCAGCTTGAAGTACTTAAAGCCAAAAAGCGGTCGAAAAACACATTAAACAAATCCATGGATTTCATTTTCTGCCAGGAGTAGAGGAGAATATGTTAATTTGGTTTGAAAGTGAAGGGTAGTGAACTGTGTCAGTGCTGTAAAAGTGTTGGGGCTAATATGGGTTAATGCCTAATGCGCACTTTTAAAGATGTTATACGGCAGGTTAAACTGAAACTGTATTCACTCAGAGGAACTCACTCTGCTTTCCCAGAGTGTACTGCCCGTACTGAAGAGCACTAGAGAAACTGGCGGCTTGTACTCTCACATACTCGTACAACACCGCTGAAGGTCTGTTTGTACACAGACATACACAGAATATGCGTCCTTGAATGGACCAACGAACGAAACGATGATGAGGAAGGTGACAGAAGCCTCAGGGAACAAAAAAAGGCCAAATGCTCTCCTCGGCTTTACATAAATAGGATATAGCAACAGACCATGTTTAATGAAAGCATCATCCCTGATGTCTTTTTTTCAAACACTTTTTATAGAGCCAGACTAATTGCCCCCAAACTGAGATCCAGGGCTCTGGGAGCAACATCATTAATTATGGCCTTCATGAACCCACTTTTAAAATGTTTAAAAGCAAAAAGCCAAAATGTCAAAGACCAGGAGGGGGTCCAGGCTGCCTGGGAAGTGGGGATTAAAGTGAGAAATAAACAAAGAGGATCTGACCACAGAGCTGTGTAAAAGGGGGGGAAATAATAAAGCAGAGAAAGAGGGTAAAATAATTACGGTGGGATTTACTACTGCTGGGTCAGGGAAAACAATCACTACATCTAAAGAAATGGAAAAACTGAGGGAAGGAGAAAAAAAACAAGAGTGTGGGATAGTAGTCAAAAAGAGCATCTGCTGGGAAACAGGAGTAGGAGTAAAAGAAGGGTAAAGGCAGCAGGTGGGTTCACTTTTAGACCTCGGATGTCTTCTGAAAACAGCGTGTTCATCTTGCCTACTTTTACAGCGTCTACCACTCTGGGAGCTATCGTCTGACTCGTGACAGAGGAAGGGGCGAAAAGGAGGAGAATGCTAAGAAACAGAGAGAGAGTGGAAGTGTCTGTGCAGGGAGAAGTAGAGAGGCACTGGCCCGTGTGGTTCCGGGTGAGGGGAGGCGATAAGACGGGGGAGCGCGGTAATAGAGAGCTCATGAGGGACGAGGTGGGGGAGAGAGGCATGGAAATATATAACGGCTGAGAGGATGTTTTCATCATGGGTGCAAGACTGGAACTGTGCAGTTGAGTGGAAGGGTGGAAGGACGAAGGGCGGAGGGTGAAGGGATGGGGGGGGGGGCTGTCTCTCTCCCCTGGGTGTTTAGATTAGAAACTTTGCCCACTGACATTTACAACATCACACACACAGTTGGCTTCCACCTGAAAGTGCTTCCTCATAAAACTAAGCGGGTGTGAGGCTACTGAACAGACTTACTGGTATAAAAGACACAACAATCTGTATTTTGGGCTTTTAATTACAGATTCCATGGTACTGTTCAACTCATTTGTCCTAGCGTGATTTTTTATCGTACAGCTATCTTTGTCAAACTGCATCTTTGTGAAAGGTAACTAAGTGAGTTTAATAACTACTTCAAAGAAAATTGCATCGACTAAATCGAGCTACATTAGTTATGGGTGATCATTGAAGAAAATCAAGTCAAGTCCATGAAATGAATGAGTAAGTTATTCTGAAATATCTAACAGAAAAGCTTGAGCAGCTAAGCCATTCCCTCCCTCTCACCTGCAGCATGTTGAGCAGCAGAGATCTGAACTTGGTCCCCTCCACCATGAACAGCGCCATCTTGTCACAGAGCTTGGCGGCTGTGGCGGCGAAGCTCCTGTCCGACACGGCTTTGGAGTAGAGGGTGCTGACCACCTGAGCCAGGGTCTCCTCGCACCGTGCCGAATTCTGCGCCTCCTCCATGAAGGAGGCCAGCTGCTGCTCCACCCCACTGCTGTTGCTCCTCATGCTGTTGAGGAGCTCCACCAGCCGGTCCATGCTCTGTGAGCCGGGGCCCGACGCCTCCACACCAGCCTCTTCCTGAGGGGGGAGATGGAAAAGTCGTGAGTGGCAAGTTTCAATTTCAATTTCAATTTACTGTTGGTTTGACCACAAGCTAGGAGCATTTCTTTAGTGATTTCATTATATGCTGACTTGAAATGAATATTTACAGTGGGAAGGTAAGATAAGAAGTACTTTATTGATTCCAATTTGGGAAATGTTTCGCGTTTAGAGAAATTAAAAGACTAGAAAGAAACAATCCAAAATGCAAACATCTCACATAGAATTTAACATAGCATTAAAAAAGTAGAAAATATACATCTTGAAATACAAATTTAAAGTAACAAAATATAAAGCAGGATATTATATATACACTAAGTGTGTAAGGAATGGAATATTAAATATCAAATGGAATACATATATGTAAAATGTACAGTGTGAGTTTAAGTCCAGTTATCCAAGGCTGATATTTGTGCTGATGAAAAGTACTTCGGCATTAGTTACGATTAGCTTATTTAAACCATTTATACATTTTTTGTGTATACTTTAGCGTCTCTGATGCACAGCTAACATGTTTTGATATATTGTGGAAGAGAACCCCCATTTTAACATTTTGTTTCTAGCCTTGGGTCTTTTGTTGCCTATCATTCCAACATTAGATTCATTGTATCACTGACACCACTGCTTGTTCATTCTTTCCTCTCCTCCCTGCTGTGTGGTGCCGCGCTGTCAAATCAAACCACCCCTGGTAGTAATGAGTGAGAGGAGGGAGACAGAGCTGAGGGCAGCAACACAGTTGGCTGACTCGCCAGTTTAGTTCACACATCAGAAACTGTTACGCTAATGCCGCTTTTGTTTCTTCACCTCCTTAGCGAGAACATGTTCACCCCTTCCTGACAGTCTGGGTGTGTCAGCATGAATGCTTAATAACCAAGCAGACGAATGACTAAAGCAAGGCAGTGCAAAAAAACTAAGCGTCTACTGTAATGTCTATCCATAAATGACAGTGTGTGTGTGTGTGTGTGTGTGTGTGTGTGTGTGTGTGTGTGTGTGTGTGTGTGTGTGTGTGTGGACATTATGAAAGTAATTATACAACTAAATGGTGGCGTGTGTGTGCACAGATACATTAGTCCTGATTGCCCTAAGACTGAGTGACAGGGCCTAAGCAGCTTTTCCGTACCTTGTCCTTTAGTCTCCTCCTCAGCCTCTCCTTTGACGACTGCAGCAAGTCGATTTTGGGCCGCTCCGACTGGCCCTCGCTTGCCTTTCTACTTCCTGGTGGGTTGGGAGATTCCTTTTTAACTGTCGGTTGTGGGAAAGCATTTGTGTTTGGTGCGGACTCAGGTCTGGGGGATTCAGTGGGACTTCTGAAGTCTTGAGGTGCACTGATCTGCTCCTCACCTGGTTTTACATTCTCAGTCTGTTTGTCTTTGGTTGCTCTCGGGGGTACTCCTTTGTCCCCTGTAACGTTCGTCTGTCCGTATCCCTGAACTTTCTGATTGGGGTGCCAGCGCCTGTTCTGGCTGTATCCGTGGTGCGGGGGTCCTCCCTGGCGCTGCCCATGCCCCCCCTGGTACTGGCGCGGCGGCCGACCGGCACTACTGTTTCTGTTATCTCCCTGTTCCGGTATATTCTGCTGCTGTTGGTTTTGACATTGTTGTTGGGTTAGATCCCTCTGATGCTGTGGGGACTGTTGTTGTATCAGCTGAGGTTGGTTCTTCACTCCTCCGCCCCCCCCTCCGCCTCCTCCGCCCCCTCCACCTCCTCCTCCTCCTCCTCCCTGAGGTCGCTGCTGTCTCCTGGATTGAGAGAAGGTATAAGAAAGCTTATTTGTGATGTAGAAGAAGCTTGAACGCATGTCTATGTCACACTGGCCCCAACATGGCATACAGCCTCCACCCTACACATCTTTAGTTTGATAACAAATGCACTGTTTTCTTGAACTCCTGTTCTGGTCCCGGTGACTTGCCGCACTCTTCTGTAAATACTATGACTGTTCACAACTAGACACAAACAGTAACCCATCATCTACTGATATAACATTTATGCAACTAAACATCCAAAAGCCCAATGCCTGCTTACATGTGGATGCACAGTGTGTCTGTGTATTCCTGTCCTGCATAGCTCTGTCCTTTTGCTGTACTGGCTCTGGGCTTCACGAGCTGCTGACATATGGTCCAGGGGATTAGTCGCCCTGGCACCGTGGAGGCAACCTATTATCTGCCTCAGCCAGTGAACCTTTGCTCCCTTAACCCCCCTCAACTCTTTAAATGCTTTTTACATCAGGAAATTGTGCAGGCGGACGTGATTTGCAAAGGAAATAAATCTTGGCCCTTTTCAACAATAAAGTAAAGAACTTCTTGTGATGGGATCAAACCGGCCACAATGCCAATCAGTACAGGCCAATCCCCACCTCCTGAGTCTTTACTTTTGGTGCTCTTGCGGGTACCAAACACCTCCTAATTTTGAATCTTATATGTTGGCAGACCATTATTTTTACTAAAACACTGAACAAGAACTCAAGAGTACTTTTCTTAAAAAAAGGCCATAAGTGCATCTACACAGAGTGAGAATCAAAGAAAATGTAGATATTGTAATATTTAGTACAGCTTCTAAAGAGCAGAGAAAATAGTGAGAGTATTATGACATGCAACAAAGGTTTCAAGGCTGGAATCTAACCTGGGACGGTGCAGTTATATATTATGAGCTCTCACCACTCCAAGAGCGAAACACTCCAGGGACAAGGTTTCTTTAATAAAGACATTTAGAAAAAGAATCACAAAAGTAATATGTGACGTCCAACAGGCTTTGTAAGTCTGACGTGCAAAGAGAGGCAACTTTCCTGAACTTTGAAGTTAGTCAATGCCAAGACTGCAATGGGGGTTTTCATTGTGCTTCACAAAAGCGTTTCCTTGCACTTAATCATTAAAGAAACTTTAAAAAGCGCGATTTTAGGATAAAAGATTAATCTAAAAGCCAGACAGTTTCAGACAACTATTACACTTTGTGAAAGAGAACTGTGTCTCGCTACCCCACTCGTTTTGCAAAGAAATACCACTGAAAATGAACAACCTTTGAATGACTGTTTTTTGTTCTAAAAGAAGTTGAACAAATCCGTATGAACAACTTCTGGGAGAAGGAGACAAGGCAGAGATACTGGATTCTATCATGTCTGCTAAAGTTATATAACGGAACTTCTAAAATCTTAAAAAGAATATTCAAAAAGTGGTATAAAACATTATAGTCGATGAGTTTAAGCCCTGATGGAAATGATTTAAGCGACCAGCAGCCTGTGTATGTGATGTGTGTAAAAGTGTTTAGATACAATTCATACAGAACTTCTCATCCGTTGTCATCAACATACGGAATTATATTATCATTGGCATAATTGTAGTGCTCCAATGATTATTCGAAGAATACAAAAATGAATCTGCAGCCACTTATTCATAATAATGTTAGTAGTTTTTAAGCAATAAAAACTTGATGGTTCCACTTTTATTTGTCTTGTATTATTTGATGATAAACTCACCACTGTAATGGGCATTTTGTAAAGCTTGATTAGCAGATTTATCAAGAAAGACAATAACTGTAAAAAAATAAATAAAAAAAACTCCTTGCAACCGCGACTGCTACTTCTGTGTCAGCAGGAAATGTTGTTGGTTTGATGAATTCGACACTGAAGGGAAGGAACGTGAAGGTGTTTAAGTGTATTCATGTTTTTTGTGTGTGTGTGTGGTTCATTCGTTTTATGTCTCGTCTGGCCCCTTTGCTCCACTCTCTCAGGGAGGTTGGCAGACAGTTCATCTTCTGCCTGTCTCCTCTACCCAACATCCTGCCTCAGACTTAATGCCACTCTTTCCGGCGCTATGCAAATATCATCAGTGCCTTTCGTAGACTAAAATAGAGCTCTTCTATCGCACACAATGATCAGGAAAAACACTCTTGTCACGCACTCCCATCAGCATCATTCAATGTCTGTTTTTTCTCATTTTAACAGCAAACTTTAAAAAAAAAACTACTTTACATTATAAACCATTTTTACTTAATCATAGAATAAAGTCTAACAGCTTAACAATGATTGACAGAAATCGTGAGATCTCATTAAATAACTGCAGTGGGTGAGATTATATAATCTTTTGCAAAGCTTTAGAGTTCTCCGAGACACCCTGAGTCTCACACATTCTCTCATCTGACGATCAGTTTGATCTTTACACTAGCTGTTAGTTTAGGCTGGGCTCTAATAAGCTCTTCTCCTGGTGATGCGTAGAGGTGATTGGGAGACAGTAATAAAATGTTAATCATGTTTAATGACTGAGAGCTCTGCAGAGTGAGGAAGGGGTGAGCCCTCCGGGGAGGTGTTTGCTTTAAGGATAAATGATGAGGCCACTGAAATGTCATGTCAGAATTTCTTGTGACTTAGAGACAGAACTTTCCATCAAATACAAAACTAAAACATTTTTTGTTTGAGGTGATAAATAGGTACCATTACGGTATAATCAGATTGAAATGAGTGTTAGAATTAGTGCTCCCTATTTTACAATACTTCTAAGATTTCCTTTCCAGTTCAAATATTAAATGTAAAAAACCCGATAATGACCAATTACCATCCGACCTTTTGATGCCGAGGCTTTGTCGAGTACAATAAATCGAATGACTGTTTCAAATGTCAGAAATGTATTCAGGTCCCACTTGGTGCGCAGGATCTGGCTCATGTTGTCACTAACCTGGCTGAGACATGCCGCCTTCCCCCAGGGCCGTGAGGCAGGAGTATGGTTAACTGGTCTCTGGTGAACTGATCAAGCGCTCTACAAGCAGGAGAGGAGGTCATTGCAGGCGAGTGGAAGGATGATGAGTGGAGTAAAGTGGCAGAAGAATTTGTGGAAAAACGGCAGTGAAATTTGTAGAAGGAGTAAAGGGGAAGACAAGAGGTTAAAGAACATAGAGGGGAGGGAGGGGAGCAGCGAAGCAAAGAGAAAAAAAAAGAAAAAAAACACTACAGGTTGATAACTATGTCAATCCAACAACATGCATAGAACTACAGGAAGTGGTGGCTAAAAAGATGAAATGCTTTGGTAGATATGATCATGGGAGGAGGTAGGATACAGAGGGTCGATCATTAATGTTGCGGCGGATGATTGTGGATGGAGGACTCGTGGAACCATCGGTTGACCCAGACGAGCAAATTGATCGGCCGGGGGAAGAGGAGCCTGCAGGCCAGACAGTCAATAACTCGGCCAGAGTCCATGCGGGCCGCAGCTCACGGGTTTAATGGACTGTGGGGAGACAGCTTTCTGCTGCCTGACTGAACATTTGCATTACTTACTGTTTTTGACAGGTTTTAGGATTCAAAGTCTCAGGGACATACTGAATGTGTGCACACACACACATGCAGACAGGCATACATCGGAGAGAGAGCACAGTCAACAACTTTGAGTAATCGTGAGCAGAAGCTGAAAGCAGGCGTTTCATAGGAGATGCAGAAAATACAAGCAGACCTGCTTTACTCAAGTGCATGAATATAAAATCATTTGGAATAGTTACTTAATAGTGCCATTTCTTTCTTTGAGTTTACATTTACATCAAGACTACCAAAAATATGACTAGATGTGAAAACACTACCTCAATAACAAGCACATCTTCATCAGTAAAGATCTAAAAGGGTAGGAGAAGGAGCCTTTTAGCTTCTCCTTTGCTGCTTTTCTGTTTTGGAGCAGAGAGCGGTAAGCAGCACATTCCAGTAAATCTCAACTAATTTCAGCCCTGCTTGACGCGCATACTAAAGTAGAAACACATGCACTACCTCCCCTTCTTTTCCTTCCTGCCGCAGCCAGCCTACACTTTTCCTTTACTCAATCTCACAGCCTCACTCCGTTTCTCTCTCTTTCTTGTGCTTATATAACATTATACGTGTGGTTCCTCATTACGATGAAAATTCATTGTCAGGGAACTTGAACTCAAATCAATATCAACATAAGAGGATTAGCATGTTTGATGGACAAACAGGCAGTTATTTATTGAGCAAACATGCTCAGCTTCATAAAGGGACAGGGAGCTGGAGGCCATATTCTGAGCAAACTGGAAATTCTGTACAACAATAATCTGTTATAGGACTTTCAGAGCTCTTATGCTGCGGTCTGGAGCAGGGTCGCCTTGCTCATTGTGTCGAGTCTTTCACGTCCCATTTTTATATTTATTTTGGGTCTTTGTAAATGGGTATAAAAACCTTCGAACTATGATGAAATTCTTGCTAGCTTTGCTAACATTCCACACATGAAAAACCCTTTTTAAAGCCCAGAATGTCTTTGTGTAAACTCTAGTAGGAGCTTTTTCTCCCTCTAGCTACAAGGAACCTCTAAGAAAGTGATTTATCCCGCAGGCAATCAGCAAGGCTTTGCCCTGAAGGTGTTTTTCACTTATTGTGTATTTAGTTTATTACTTTTTGGACAATAAAGTTGTATAAAATCCTATTCTACAGACTTCTGTCATTCCCTGTCTCTCTTTCTAATTGTTGCGTTCTATAAAATCTCCCGCTGAGTTTGGGTTTTAAAAAAATTCTCGTTGATGAATCACTTAGCCAGTTGCTGACATCTGCAACTCTTTTTACGTCCTGCTTTCTCCATCTCTGCAGTGCAAATATATTTGGCCAACCATAAAATACTTCTCTTGGGTTAAAGGACGAATGAGTTTAACTTGCCTCAGAGGCAAATTCTAAGTTTGCAGGAAAATATTCTTAAGCTAATCAATAAAAAGTAATGAACTAAGAACATTATTAGTGAAATGATACAGAATCTGCTTTGTGCTTGAAAGCTTTAGAACTACCGCCAACCTGCCTTCGAGCTTAACATTTCACATTACATTCAGAAAGCCTCTGTCACAGGTTTAACTCATTTTGCCATTAGTTATAAACATTTTGCAGTATTTAAGAGTCTGTATCTTCCTGCTGTGTTTAAGCATGCAAGGCACTGTTTTGTTATGTTTTTATATGCTTCACGTTTTTCTCTTTTAATTGTTCTCAATGATACAAAAAGGACAGGAGTGTCTCTGGAGGGAAAGTGGTTGTTACAAGCTAAATATTTGATCAATCTTGTAGCTGAGCTTGTGCAAGTCACCAACCCTTTGAAATATAAAGCTTCCACATGATGCATTTCCATCACCCTGTTGTTCTGCTTGGTGTTCCACCACAGTTTCAGTTAATATAACATGAACACATAGAGCAGCCACAGACTTTAACGCCACATAAGCATGCACAAACATATGCATTTAAAACCCTCTCAATGTGTGGTTATAAGCCGCAAGAAAACAGGATGACCCCTTAACCTAAGCAAACTGCTGTTGTTCCACATTTATATATATATATATATATATTTTTTTTTTTTGCCAGGCCTTCGCTGTGCCCATTGCACATAAAAAACAATAGCTCTGCACAGTTCCAATTACTCTCTGTACTTTAAAAACAACGATGAAAGTGCTTTTGTCCATTTGGTATAGCTAAAATTTCCTCATTTTTCAAACCACAAATACAACCCAAATATTTTCTCTTTCCCCGTCTCTTAGCAACTGAAGAACGGTTTTCCAGTGACATCAGGGCATGGAGCGAGAGAACGAGAGCGATGTTTTCTTTTTCTCTTCAGGACATGGTTTCATGAAGTCAGACTTGGGAGAAATTAGATTTCAGAGTGTGTACAATTAGAGCAGATGTGCCGGTATGACATTTTGTGGCAGATTTAGGAGTTTGGAAATAGGATCAAAGGTTAAATGTTGAAAAACCATGGCAAGAAAATCCATAATCAGATAAAGAAAGAAAGCTAGAGTATTGAGTGCAAACAAGGGTGACTGAATAACTGGCTTAAATTTGAGTGAGTAACCTATTAAACATGAAAAACCTTGAATGTCTCCGCAGTGTTTTTTTTTTCTGCCTGCAGTGAAGTGTGGAGCCTGCATTCCTGTCTTGACATAGCTTTGGCTGGGGAGAGATGTTAAGGCTATAGGGCTGGCTGTGCAGTGACATCTGACATCAACAGAAAAAACATTCCCTCTCACTGAGGTAGGTTAGTGTGTGTGTGTGTGTGTGTGTGTGTGTGTGTGTGTGTGTGTGTGTGTGTGTTCGCATGCGTCATTACCGTCGGTCATTCCTCCTGCGTCGGAACAGCTTTTTGGTTTGTGCGATCTCAGCCTCATTAGGAAGGGGAGGGAAGACCTGTTGAGGACAAATCAAAAAATATGAGACCGCTCCTTTCAAGAACAGCATTTCAGATCACTTCTTTGAAAGTAGGTACAGAATCCTTCATCCTCGCTGTACCATCAAAAGTACACAAAGGGCTAGATTACTAATACATCAGACAAACTCGAGGCTTTTTCTTTAGAAAGCCGTTTTTCAATGCCAGACCTCTTAGGGCGACTGTGGCTGCGAGGGAGTGCGGTCGTCTTTCAACCAGAGGGTTGTGGGTTCGATCCCAGCCCATGCAGTTAACATGTCGGTGTATCCTTGGGCAAGATATTTAACCCTGAGTTGCTCCCGATGGCATAGCCAACGGTGTGTGAATGTTAGGTCATAGAGTAAGGTACACTGCTCTGTATGAATGGGTGAATGACATGTATATGTAAAGCGCTTTGAGGGGTCTTAAAGACTGGATAAAGCGCTATATAAGTACAGTCCATTTACCATTTAACATCAATACACTCATTTGAATGTGTTTACTGCACAGAAAGTCAAGAGATTAGGTAAATGGTGCAATGCCACTTTCTTTAGTGAATTAGTGAAATGGCTTTTTCTTCTGAATATTATATATATATATTCATAATATCTTATGGCACAGGCTTGGGTTCGTAGGTGCAAGGACTATAACTTGCATATATTAACAAAAAAAGTGAGAACATTTTTTCAGTGAACTGGTAGGTTATTCTATTACATATGGTTGATGTTAGCACGAGCCTGTAAAATATGATTTTATCATATATTTACGTTTCTTCACTGATGATAGTACCTTTTAGCTGATCGCCGTAGTGATGACACGTCAAACTGCCATGTCTCGTTTGATCAGCACCCAAACAGAGCAATCTCTGCACTTTGTCAGATGTATGACACCGTGTTTTTTAATATGTTTATTTAATTAAAAACACTGCAGCTGCTAGTACCACAAAAGATACACGTACTGTGAAAAAGAATTGGTGGTTCTAAAAACTTCCTGTGAAATCAAAGATATAAGCATCCATCATCAATTAAACATCTGCCCTGTCAATCAAACAGCATTCGGCCCCTTCACTCAACATCACTGTGCAGCTGTTACCATGGTTACAGTTGGTCTAGCACCAGCGCTGTTATGTACAGTGTGCAGTTGGAGATGGTGCATAGATGTGTGTGACTATGCACAGTATCGAGTCAGAGCAGATAACGTGCGTTGCATAAGTAGCTGATGTTAGATGATGTTGATTAGCATTAATGGTTAATAGAGTGTGTTATTTTGTGTGTTGCAAATAGTTGCAGGCTGAAGCATAAAAATAAATTCCCCATATTTCCCCAAACTCTCAAACCGATGCGTTGTGCAAGAAGCTGACCACAGTCTGCAAAGAGGGAGGCTCTGTGCACTGTTTTTACTCTCGGAACAGTTCACTTCTTCCTTTTGGTTTTCTGGATAAAAGTATGACCAAAAACAAATAGTGTGATATCAGTGCATCTAGTCTCATGATCAGCATATCAAGTACCACCACATAGATGATATACTTGTCTAATCCTCTTTTCATTGGATCTATAAGCAGGTACAATGTGGAATATGCGTATCTTTTCATACCCCCAGAGCATTCTACTTTTTGTTACATTTTTGGCTCGCGTTTGTGGTTTCTATTGGTAGAGATATGAGAGGTTGTGGTGGGTTTTGTACAATCGAGACAAGAGTCTGATTTATTTTCAGCGAGGCTTACATTTATATATAGGAAGGAAAGAAAGAAAGACAAAACAAGGGAAGAGAGTCATAGTAAAGGTTTGTTGCCAAGTTTCTATCTGACTTGTAATGACTTAAGGACATTATGTATATGCACTATAGCTGTAGAGCATCAGCTACGTTTTGCATTGCCAAGTAGGAATTCTACTTACATATTTTTTGTCGGTTTTTTGTTGTTGCACAAACATACTGTACATCCAGCCTTTCAGAAACATACTGTAGATTTTCTAATGAGTTTGAAATGTAACACTGCTGCTCCAACCTACTTCTCTCTTAGAGAGGCTGCTGGGGGATCGTAAGATTCTGATTGAATCCAGATGTGAGAGTCAGAAAGTGTCTATGTGTGTGTGTGTGTGTGTGTGTGTGCTGGGGGCACTGTATTCCTGTGGCACAGTAACATCCACAAAAAGGCAGACAAACACACTCTTTAACCGTCGGTTTGTACAAAGCTTTTCTTTGACCAGAGACTTTACATATAAACCCAAAAGTATTAACATCCACAGAACAAATCTGCTTTTTTCCAGACTCTGACTCCTAGAGCGGTCTGACAGGGAGGAAAAGTAGGTGGAGGAAGAAAAAAAGAAAGAAATGGAGGAACTGTTGCATGTTTAGCTACTGTAGTTTTCCTCTAGGATATCATTAGCTGTAATTCTGCCTTCAAATGGTAACCAGATGACAGTAAGTGCACACACACACACACACACACACACACACACAAAGGGTGAAATTATACACGCAATACACTTAACTTCAAGTATTTTACCATCACTATTTCTCAGATCTTTGGCAACAAAAAAAAAAAAATGGCTCTTTGAATCGTCAATTTTAATTTAAGAAAAAAATAAAAAGAAGCATATTTTGGACCAATGCATTAGAGAGAAGCTCAGTTTGGAAAGCTTTCAACAGGAACGGAGAAGGAGGAAGCGAGAGATGTAGAGTTGTCTCTGTGGTTAAAAGGGAGAGCTTTGTGTGTGTGTGTGTGTGCGTGTGTGCGCGTGCGCGTGCGTGCGTGAATATGCTATCTGCAGGTAGCAGCCAGCACGGGGAAGATCAAAGAGAGGCGTGTGCTGTCCTGCCAGAAGAACCCTCACCTCGCAGCAGGCAGCGCAAGCCCTGTGGACGTGACAAGGACTGCGGGGGGGTGGGGGGGGTGTGGCTGTGTGAGTGGGAGAGCAGATAGAAACGGACAAAGGGATTCTTTCTGTGGTTTGGTTTATATACGCAATTTATCAAGGTTATCAAGAGATCAGTAAAGGGTTATTCTAAACATAACGTTTATTTTCTTTAAAAAATAGAGTTGCTCATTTTGATGAGGAGAATGATCCAGGAGGTGGGGGCGGCGAGGCAGGAGCATGCTTCTTTACCGATAACAGTCTTATGGAGCATTTAGACTGAAAAGGAGCAGTTTGTTCCAATGATTTGCTACAGCTACTGAGATTATAAAGATGTTATGCAAGGGCTTTCAGCTTTATTAATAGAGCCACAATCGCCCATCAGACAGGATTTCATAAAGCCTAGAAAGTTGTCACAGTCACTGTTGTTATCCTCCATCTCGACAATAACAAGGTAAACACTAGAATTACCCTGTTGTCGCTACAAAGTCTTCTAGCATCAATGAGTGTTCAAACGCATATGATTGGCTATCCCCAAGCAGGATCCTGGAGGAGCCAGGAAGAAAGACCACAGGGGAGATAAATGAGTAGATGAAAGCTGTAGGAAAGGGAAAGGATGGATGAGGATGTTTCTTTCATGGGGGAAAAAGTTTCGACAATGCGATTCATGTAAAGTTGGATGGAAATAACAGACTGAAAAGCAAGAAGAAAAATGAATGGAGCCATCAACATAGAGGGAGAAGCTTTGCATTTGTTCATTGAGGGATTTAGGACATTTCCTATGACAGTTTAATATGTGGACAAGTTTCTATCCAGGTCATTGGTGGTGTTTGTTTGATTCTTGGTGGTAGCGAATGGATTTGTTAGACAACACATTTGTTTAAATAGCTTCAAATTAAAACTTCAACTGAGTCAACTAAAAATGCTCATCTCTACAGAAAAAGAAGAAGACTTACTCTTGTAAAAATACAATCCTGATTGGGGTGTGTTTTTTACGTGTGCATTGTTTTATGTGCCTGGATGTCTGCCTTGAGAGGAAGTTGACACACCGTGTAGTATTGCAGGGAAAAGCACAGGTCACTGGGAGAGGCTACTTGGGATGCTAGCTGAGAGGATGTATCCTTTTTTCAACCACTCAACATCGCCACGTAGCTCCCAAGCAATAACAGCATATCTGCTTTGAAAGTAATGCATGATTTAACCTTTAAAACACATTTTACGACGTACCCCCAGTAGTAAAAAGGTTTTTGATTTTTCCGAGGGTTTTGCCATAAGGGTCGTTGACCTGGGTCAGAGAGCATTGTCGATCCATTCATAACAATGACGTGGCTTGAGTGTGAAAGGAGTATAAGTAACGAGGAAGGAAAGTAAGGAAATGAGAGCGAACGGGGATGGAAATGTGAAGAATAGAAACGGAGAATAGCGATTATAGGATTTTCTCTGCAACGGCATGGAAAGTGAAGTGCACGTCTTCCTGCGCCTTCTAGTGTGTAACAATTCTGGTCTGATGGTCATTCAGTCCGTCCATTGTTTCCCTCGGCTTATTTATGTTACGAGGGCCCTTGGCCAAAAGCAATACATTTAAAACCGACCCAGGGGTGGCATTAAAGGACAGGTTGTTGAGAGCAGAGGAGAGAGAGAGAGCAAAACAAGAGGGACTGTAAATACAAGATAGCAAACAAGATACAGAGAGGAGCTGAGGTGCAAAGGCGGAAATTATTTGGACAATTTGCCCGCATGTTAAAAGCAAGGATGAATAATGTGTTGTTTTTTGTGACTTGTTTTATTTGATGTGTCCATATGAAAATTAGCTTTGGCTATCTTTGTATGTTGTGAATTGGAGTTTTACAACTATAATAACATGCTGTTCATTTATCATTAGACACAGCCACATACATGTAACAATAAATATAACTGTATTAAAAAACACCATTCAAATCTGCACCAGGTAGAAAGCTTTTCAAACTGATGGATAGATGAAAATTCCCCATATTAATAAAAGTGATATCTAATTAATAAGAAACACAGTGTGCTACAGAACCAATTATTTTACTGTAATTTTTTCTGCCAGTCAAAACACATTCTATAGTTAATATCGCCACCATACACTTGGATATTGTGCCAAATAATGCAAAAATGTCAACTGT